ATAAAGCATTGAATAAAGAGCAAAAAAGCGGAAAGATATTTGCCAACCTATTATTTGTAAATGTTCGTTTGCCCCTTCTTTATATTGGAGATTTTAAAATTTATTTAATAAACCTTTCACCTTTAAAGTTTCCTCCTGACTTAAGTGATCTAGTCGAAACAGTGAAAAATCTATTTCCTGATCTGAATTTTTAGTTGGTTTTGGTTTCTTGTGTATATAAAATGTTCTGTTTCTTCCCGATTCTTAAGTAATTAAGTTGTTTTGTCAAAAAGGGTAACTGTGCTATTTTTGTAATTTATAAATGATTGGGCATTTTTTTTTTAATTTTCTGCCAATTCGTAATTATTTGAAAAATGGATCATTTGTTTTAAAAATAAATTGCAATCAAGTTGTTCAACGTAATAGGACCATTTGATGTTACAACTTTACATCGGGCATTTTGAATATATAGACAACATAATAAATATATATATTTTTTTATTTATTTTATTCTTATAAGGCATCCTTATTTTTTTCTATAAGGCATTTGTATGTGCAACCTTTGTGTGATATTTCTATGTAATCGTGTTGTCCGGGGCAGTTAACTGTTTCGTTTGGTTCTGGGTTATTTTGCCTTGGTTCATCATGAATTTGTGCGGATTTTACCTGTTGTGTTCCTTTATTAATGAACCTTGGTATTAATTGACTGCAACTGTAAGATTGCCCTAGTTGCCTGCAAGTAGTTGTTTGCAAACTCGCTATAATATTGGTGTTTGATGCGATTTCTAATCAGGATATTGGTTCCCCCACTCCGTCTGGATGATTTGTTCCGTAAAACAAAAAACATGTAGTAATCGAGTTTTTTCGAGTTTACAATGATTTCGTCTACCAGAATCCTTAGGCCGCCCAATGTAGGCCATCGCACACGCCATCAATATTCTCTGCCTTTATAGTTTAGCAGGGCTTACTCACCACCTGCTTTAATTGTTTCAGGTCCTCCGCATGAAAATTTCCCAGAAGTATACCCTGAAAGGACTTGCATCCCATAGCATATGGTCGTCCCCTACTTGCATCATAATTGCCACGAGCATGGACTGGTTCACTCTCTCGGATGAATTTGCCTTTTGGTATGGACGGCGGTACGGAGGTATGTGAAGTTGCTCCGTCACTTGGCTTGTGTGTTTAGTTTCCTTGCAGTGACACACGGCCAATAGTAATAGTGCCTTAGCCTGGAGAGGGTCTTGGCTACGCTACATGCATCGCCAAGTCCCTGTCATGGACTTTTTTTTATATAAGTGCTCGACAACGCTTTTGGAATCCACAATTTCAAAGTGAATTTTAGGTTGCGGTCTCTTTGGGCTGAAAGCGCTTAAACAGTAGCTCGTCCTTAGCATGTAAGTCCGTATAGGCTTTTGGACTTTTCAACCAAGTTTAATCTTCCAAATATTCCTCACTCTGGAACTCGGTCGACTTAAAGCTTAAAATGACCACCAGGTCCTTGACAGAATGTCTGCCACCACGTTGCCTTTGGCCTTTCGGTGTTCAATTTTAAAATTTTACAATTAGAGAGCCAAAAATCAACCAGCAAATTGTCCACTAAGATCCTTGTGCCTCGGTAATAACTGTGAATGGAAACTTTCTATAGCTTTCACCGCGGACATTCATTCCGTAACAATATAATGGATTTCCGTAGAGCCCAATTTGAACCTAAATTTGCATTATAATCATGTGTTTATTTTGTGTTTGTATATTTATACCTGTTACTCGTAAAGTGAAACGGTAAACTAGAATCGTTGATTTATTCTGACAGGCAGAAGGAAGCGTTTCCGACCATTTTTATTACTCCAATAAACCGCCCAAGCTGGCACGCCCAAACTATTGAAAAATGTTTTGAGATTTTTTTATTTTTTTGTCAGTTGTTAATTTGCCGAAACAAACAAACCGCCCAAAACTGTCACTCCCATACTTTAAAAACTATTAAGTTTTTCATTTTATTTTTTCCCCCAGTTTCTACATATATTCCAGATAATTATGAAATTTCTCGTTCGCACTTCTACTAGCTGAGTAACGGGTATCTGATAGTCGGGGAACTCGACTATAGTATTCTATTTTGTTATACCCGTTACTCGTAGACTAAAAAGGTATACTAGATTCGTTGAAAAGTATGTAACAGGCAGAAGGAAACTTTTACGACTATATAAAGTATATATATTATATTCTTGATCAAGATCAATAGCCGACTTGAACTGGCCATGTCCGTCTATCCGTATCTCTGTCTGTCAGTGTAAACGTCTCAATATCAGGAAATTGAAATAATTTGGTAGGTGCCACCAAAGACATTAGAATAGCAAGATGCGTAACGCAATTTTTCCGCACATGAATTTGTTGTGCTGGCTCTAGACGAAAAAATGTACAAAATAAAACCTGATTAATTTCCTTAAATACTTTACACGTAAATGTTATGTGCATAAAATTTATCTTTTAAACAAACTCATATAAGTTTTACTTTTTGAGCATTGCAAGTGGACTGTGATAGCTGATAGAAAAAATACCAAACTCAGCATTCTATCTCATAAAAGAAAAAATATGTGATAAATCCCAAATGTAAAAAAAATGTAAATAATTGACAGCTGAAAATAAATATATATACATAGTAAAAAAATAATAAAAGTTAAAAAGTAAAAACCTAATTAAAAATAATTAATAAAAGTATGGACCAAAAAAAAACCGAAAAGCAATATTTAGAAATCTAGAAAACTAAAATAGTAGTAGTCATAGTAGGCATCAACTTTTTAATAATAATTTATTAGAAATATTACAAGGAAACATTAATCAAATTCGTTTCTTGTTTCAAAATTGATTTCGGGCCGAAAATCGTCTTCTACCACAAGTAGAAGTAGTACACACTTTCTTGCTTACAGTTTTCACTCAGAGAAGCAAGTGAATTCTCTTTTTCGATTTTTGATTCGTTGTTATGCATCTGCTGTATATAGGTGGGTCTAAATGGTTGCATGTATTAACTAAAATTAGGTTGGACGGGTTGAGAATATTGTGGGTAACTTGGTCGATATTGAGCTTGGGTATTTTTATTGAATTTGTGTGACTTAGAATTCTGATTAGAATTTGAGGTTTTATTACGGTTTTCCGGATTTTTATTTAATTCAAAATTTATATGTTCTTTGTAAATTCCCTCATTTTTTGCAATAACGATCTTAAGTCTGTAATATCATGATAAGCCAAAATAGTGAATACTTGTATTGGTAGTTTTCTGATCAGTATTTTACTGGGATCTTTAATCGCCTGAACATAAATAAGAAAATCTGTTCGATTACCTTCCAGGTGTAATTTTGCAATCAATATTTGACGTCGTCTTTCCGTTTCTTTACGGAATGCTCTCAGATTTCCTTTGTAAGGTTTCTCCCAGAAGTTCTACAGTAGTTTGTAGTTAGGTGTTTAGGGATTGAATTCTGCTACTAGGCTCGATTTGAGAGTAGGCCAATCTTCGATGTTCGGAAGACCCAAAGATCGTGTTACGTCCAAGTTCCTTTCGATGGCTCCTCTGTTGTCGCACATCATTAGTTTGGTAGACATTACGTGAATGGCATGATGTCTTTTAGGTGCCGACGGGCTTCAACAAAGTTGTTGTCGTTTAGTGTCACGATATGGGTTGCGGCAACAACTGGTTGTGCCATTGTTATTGTAAATTTTTAATTTTGTTTCAGTACATTTTTATACCCGTTACTCGTAAAGTAAAAGGTTATACTAGATTCGTTGAAGAGTATGTAACAGGCAGAAGGAAACGTTTCCGTGTCCATCCAGCTGTCCGTATGTCCGTAACGCCTCGATCTCAGGAACTACAAAAGGGTTATCGAGTATTTGTGTTGACAATTATTTACGAGAACTGGTTAAATAAAATTTTAATTATTTTTCACTCAAGGTTCTTTTTTCCCCATACTTTTTGTATCCTAACGACTGCGCTAGTTACGTTTATTTACTTTTAGTCTATTTAGTGGACCGTCTTTATAGACTAAGACTAACGCTGAAATTGAATCTTTGACAAATAAAAGAAATAGGGTTGGATTTTTATTGTTTATTGTTTAACTTAAGACTAAAAGCAAATGTAAGTCAAATATATTAGAATCCTCAGTGCTTTAAGAATATGTTAGGGTATTACGGGAGAGCAAGTTGAGGAGAGCTTCTGTGAGAGCAAAACTGGTTAGGACAGGCGTTAAGATTTGTTTATAAGAATGGCTAAATGCCGTTGCCAAAGAATTGTTTATAAAAAGGCATATTGCGCAGATGGCATGCAGTATTGAAATAAATTAAGTGCTTTATTATTTACGGTTTTGTGACATAAATTAAATAACGGGGGCTTAAATACGTCACTATATGTATATATTTTAAACCATAAGATACCAATGCACCGATGCCATATCACAGTCATTCCTTAAAATTTCGTAGGAACAATAAAGAAAAATCGCGTGGAAATCGTCTTTACAAGACCAAAACAAAACTGAAAATATTTTGTGGGCGTGGCAATATGGTTCAACAAACTCTGCATGCTTAATCTCAACTTTCTAACTTGTATAGTTCTTGAGATATCGACACTCATACAGTCATGGCCAGATCGACTCGGCTATTAATCCTGATCAAAAATATATATATTTTATATGGTCGGAAACGCTTCCTCTGCCTACTCTACGTATAATAATGTTTGCTTTTCATGTTTTCCTTTTCAGTTAAGCGAGGAGGGCGCTACTTTTCTTATAGGAACAATTTTTCAACACTACATATGCTATAAGTGTATTCCCGCAGTGGCACTTTGATTTCATTTGAAAAAAAAAACGTAATATACCTAAGCTTTATGCATTTTAATGCAGTAAAAGATAAAGCTTTGATTATTCATTATTTTTATGTGAGAGCTAATCTAAAGCACCAAAACTTTGCACACCCTATCGGTGCAAGGGGTTGGTGTCATAACAATTTATTTGGCTCGCTGGATTTGAAAAAATACTAAGTAATTCAAATGTTATATATCTTTAATGTTTAAATATTAGGTGACAGTAAAATTGTACAATGTTTTAAGAAAGGTATTTAGCAAAACAGAATTTCGGGAGAATGTGATTAAATCGCGATATAAAGAACAAATTTCAATGACAATATTTTTATACTTAGCTTATACCTGCCGCTAAATAGTGATTCTTGTAATAATAGGCGCATACACCAACTACAATAGAAATAGCTGTCGTCAATATTACCGAATTTGTAGTTAACATATTTGGAAGCCATTGGCTTATAATAGGAATTCTATTCGATGTGGCCGGTCGACGTCTTTTTACTATCAAAGCTTCGTCGGGTTTCCTTTGCATCCTTCTATTACAATGAACAAATTATTTTTTGAAGTATTAACTCAATTTTTTACTTACTCTTGACAAATAAGCTCTTCAACTTCTTTCTCAATAACTGTTAAGCTATACTTATTTAAAAGCGAACTGGAGGTTTTTAAAATGTCCTCAAATGGTAAATCTTCTGGTATCTATAAAATATGTTTATAAAATATGTATATATATTTTAAGCTATAAGATACCACTGATAAGAGACAATGCACTGATGCCATATCACAGTCCTCCTTTAGAATTTCGTCTGAACGATAAAGTAAAATCGCTGCTGTTACAAAAATAGATGTATAAATAGGCGATGCAAGGAAATAGTCATATAAGCGGACTACGGCTTTATAAGACGTTAAACTATGTCCGAACCAAGTCAAATACCACGGTAAAGAAAACAAAGTTCCTACAGTCGAGCTTTGCAAGAACTTAAAAAGTTCTGGGTTTTCAAACTTAATGATAGGCCACATGAACATAAGTCGCCTTTGCGTGGCCTCCATAGTCTCCTGCATACATTCCGAAAAATGTGTCTTAGAGAGCTGCTCCATTATTGCAAAAGCGGTTTCTTCGCCAACCACTAACAAAAATGTTACAGCCACATCATGATAGCCTTGATAATACCTCAAGTTAGGATACTTTTGAATTACTCGTAAAATCAGAACAGTAAGTTGGTCCTGCAGTGCAATTCGTTGCTCGTAAGGAATTCCTGGTGGAAATCGTTTTAAAGAACGATTAACATCCAACACCACCTGATTGTATTCTGGGTGGTATTGCAACTTATCGAGTGTTGGGGCTTGTCCTAAGCGGTTTACGTCGACTCCTGCCAATTGCGGCCATAAAATCCTTCGAAAATGGTCATTAACCAATCCGTACGGTGCCAGGGATAGCTTCACAAGTACATCAGATCTTAGATTTTGCTTGTGGTTTTTATGAATAAATTCTTCTATTTCCAACCTTTTTTTGAGCTCATCATCAGATTCCGGAACTACAAATATATTGTTAGATTCTAACATTTAAAAAATTATGTATTTTTCTTACATTTTTCAAAATTTAGGGGACGTTCATCACTGTTGATCATATTGCTCATTATTGCAACAGAATTAAGAAAATCGTATATGTAACTTCTATATATTTGTAGTAAGTTTAAGAAATATTTCAGATCAAGACATATTATTATAACTATAACATAATATATTCTTTCGGTCAAAATAGCGACTGACTTTGCACGTCAGCAAAAATTTGTTTTGCGATTATAATCACTCAATGTTATCATTTTTAATCCAAGCTAAACATGCCCAGTCTGTGACGGAGGCTGGGTAGGTAAGGATTCAAGTGTCTGAAACTGAGACTATTCACAAAATGGCCAACATCTAGAAGAATTAGATTTAATGCAATGCAAAACCCTGTGCAATCTAAGTTAATGCTTTTGTATGGCAGATGCAAATTGTTATTTACGTCTATGCGACAACTTAGTAAATACTAGAGGTGGATCAATTTCGATCAATTTTTAACATCGGTGTCATCGATGTTGTTGAATAGTTGTTGGTACTTGTATCGGTGTCACACCTAGTAAATACACAATTTGTTCATCATTAAAATTGCATTTGCGCAAAGTAGCATCGAAGAATTAACAACAATTTAGAAACTCTGGAACTGGAATTCAGAATAGAATGTAATTTGTACATATTGCATATATATATGTACATATTTGTCTCCTTTTTTGAAATATTGCATTGCAAAATATTTAACAAATTATTAGTTTTTTCTCACGCAATATTGCACGGCTTTCGATTGCTTAACAAAAGTCTACATTCGACCGCTTTTTTTTTTTTGGCAATTCCATAGATTTAGTAAAGAGTAGTAAAGCCTTTTATTTTTTTAATGTTTAGTATGCCGTTTTCGGAACCGCTTTACACTCAAATTGAATTCAGATATATTGAAAATTTTCAATTACTTGTCATACTTATTAACTGCTAAAATAAGTCGAAGGAATACGATGAGCACATAATACAGAACGAGCATGCGAGCGTCAAGTGTTCGTTGGAGACATGAACCTCCAACGGAATAAGTTAGCTCTAATAGTTAGTTCGTAAGATACCGAGAACAAGAACAGTTGACTCAATAAATAGTAATTTTTAATTGACGCCCACCACGCTTAAGTGTAATAATATAATCCGAAATAATGGGCCTAAAATTTAGCTTTGATTAAAAAAAAAACACATCAAACTCACGCAGTAAGGCCTAGAAATAAATGTTTGCGCGTCATTTTTATCGTAACATTAAAACGTTAAAAACAAAAATCTGCAAAGACGCAGAAATAAAGAAATAAGGACATACAAAGAAATATACGAAATTGCTGCATATCGGCAGCAAGCAACACAAAGCTGACGACAGCCTGAGGCCAAGCGGATGATTTCAGCAAAACATAAAACACAGGAGCGATACAGCCGTCTTCGTCGTATTCTATTATATCAATATATCTTATATTAAGTGAGATCTTTATTTTTAATGGCACACATGTCCTACTGACGTTAAACAGGGTAATTTTATGTCAGTCGGACCAATAAAAAATAAATACACATAATAAATAAGAAAATAAAACAGAAAAAGATGAGGGATTGCAATTAAGAGCTCAGCTCAACTATAATATTTTAAAACATATTTTCGAATTTTCAAATAAAAAAAGAAGAAAAATAAAAAAATTAAGTTTATCCGAAAAAAATATATACAAGTTCTCTTTACATAAATTATAAAATATAAAATCACAAAATTGTTATTAACTAATGTCAAAAACAGTAACGTAAACGACATTGATGAGGACTTGATAGAGAGCTTTAAATAAATAAGGGATAATAACCAGCAAGGGGATTGCACTGAAAACGCTGAGACTGTCGAGGATATAGAATTAAAGAACTTAGTGGACGGATGGATTCTAAGATCAACATCCTGTAAGCGGCTGTAAATGAAACGCTAGAGCTCCAACCAAAAATATTTTCAGATAAGCTTAAAGAGATAGAAAATAGGCAGAGGTTGGACCCATACCCATGATGGTATACAAAAAAATTCCACATAACGCAGCTATTCATTGTAATGAACCACTAGACTTGATAAAGTCCATACTAGTCTTTGACGGCAAGCAAGACGAGTTGTGGCATGGCGAACTGCAGTAGTAAACGCCTATGAAATCTATAAGCCATTTTCGGGTAGTTCAATAGTAATAAGTAATAGTATTTCTTCGATGCGGGCATGAGACTGTCTGTAGAAAAATCTTAATTCTTTAAAGAAAACGGAGAGTATTTGGGATTCATAGTGTCCCGAGGAGAACTTAAAACTTCACCAGAAAAGGTCAAGACTATAAGTGAATTCCAACCTTTATCCACCTTGTTCCGTTTAAGGTCATTTCTGGGATTGAGTACCTTTTATAGATGTTTCAAGGGTTTGCTGGGTTTCCAGCCTTACGAACATTCTAAAAGGTAGAACGGGAAAATTGGTTCAAGCCACTCAGAAAAAATTGAACTGAAACTGACGAACAAAAAACGAAATTCATTCGAAAAATTAAGAAAAATCCTGAAGTCTGAGTATGTCATGTTATCATACCCAGATTTCACTCCAAATCCACCCAGATTTCATTTGATTTGACCACTGAAAGCGGACTAGGGACTGTTCTTTCACAAATCACCATGATCTTTCGCACGTGACGCGGCACGGAGACAATGGCAACAAATGAACGTGAACCACTTGCAATAGTATGGCCACTTCAAAATCTCAGAAAATATTGTATGGCGTAAATAAGTTGAACATCTTCACCGATTACCAACCAGTGACCGATACAATGTCAGATAAAAAACGGAATCCCAAGTCGCGGGAAAACGTAAATGTAATAGATAACGGCGCGCACTCTGTCATCACTACTATTCACAGCGAATAGTTGCTGACCTACACCGTAGAATCAACAGAAAGACTTTGAATTGTTTCAGGAATCAAATAGTGATTGAGTAGGAGGATTTCCCGTCTATAAAATCAATCATCCTTTTTAAATCAATAACACGTCATATTGTCCGATTTACAGCTCGCACTACATTGCTTCTTTACATTGCATTGCATTGTTTACGTGTCGTTAACATTCAAAAATGGAAGGCACTATATCTCCGAGTCCTTGCTCCAGGGATTTTGGTGTGCCACCACATAAGTACCATGTCATCTTAATTTAACCTTTTTTTGGTCCCCGTCAAATGCTAAGTTCACAGTGTTAAGTGGAAATGGTAGGATCACCGAAAAACTACGCAAAAGTGGCAAAAAAAAAAAACCTGCGAGTGGAACTTCGTATGACGTTCGCGCAGCTTTTGGCCGGCGAGGACTTTGAAAATCCTTTGGAATTGCTGAATCAGGTCGAGTGGTGGTTAGCCATTACATACACCATTGACATCAACACCAGATATCATTAATGACATAAATACTCTCAAAGTGATTCATATCCAATGATAACAACAGAAATTATAACTTCTTTCGAAAATCGAGAATACTGTAAAGCAGTATTTTTAGATGTATTCCAAGCTTTCGACGGAGTCTGGCCCAATACCTTAATATTAAAAATCTAAACAGCACTGGCCGAAAGTACACACAAGCTTTTAAAGTAATACCTCTACAACAGGAAGATTGTAATCCTGTGCAACACTGCCACCTATGCCACTTATGCGGAAAGAGTCACTCAAGGCAGCGTTCTTGGACCAACTCTGTATCTCCTGTATCTCCTTTACACATGCAAGATTGCCCACCACTTTCGTTGAACAACATACCACTCCCAATATCCACTTTTACCGACGATATAGCTATCATTAACCGCTCTTGGTCTCCGATCCAAACTACAGATCAAGTATCCTTGCACCAGAAAGACATTGAAATGTGGCTCTCTAAACGAGCAAAAATGGAAACACATAATATTTACGGTAAACATGCAAGATTGCCCACCACCACTCCCAAAAGCAAAAGAGGTAACTCCCCAAGGAGTGCACCTTGACAAAATACTTTCATGGCGCACGCATATGGAAGCGTCTACGTCTCTTAAATATGATTAAATTGAACTGTTTATCTTTTATATTTCGCGAGATCGTAACGTTCAGACTGACAAACAGTTATGGCCAGATCGGCAGGATTTCATGGGTCGGAAAACATTAGCAAAAGTTATTTGGCTCATTACCAACTGTCGTTTTCGTTAGTGCTGATATAATCGGAATTTCCTTTTAAAAAGTACAAGTTTGTTGAATTTTCACAAGTCCGTTCTAACGCCCAAAACTGTATCTTTTTTTTTGTAATAACTTCCGAACTATTTTTATAACAGTTAACATAAAAATGTCGCGCGAAAACCCACCCATAGAATTTTTTTATTAAATATGCTTGATGAAATTAAAGTTTTTTGTTTTGATAAAATCGCTTACTTCAAATTAGTTAACCGGAACCTCATTTTTTAATAATTTTTGTACACTTGCAACAGAATGTTTGGACTATTCCTATAAATATAAGATGAGAAATTATATTTGCGAAATTATGATTATTGTTTACTTGCATAAGTGGGCGACAGCATTTCCTCCATTATAAAATTGTCATATCACTTGATATTTTTTTTCTCTCATCATAACATTCTGTTTTTTCAAAAATTTGTATCTAAATAAAAAAGAATAAAGTTAGTACAAGTTTAAATAGGAAAAAGGTATCGTACCTGTTCAAAAAACTTAAGTTGCTGTATAGGTTCATCTGAGCCGTTTTCACAAAAATCTTTGAACAATAATAGCCTGCGAATAATTTATTATTATTACAAATAGATTAGCATTTGTACATGCATACAGGTACTGTACTTACCTGTACTTACCCAAAACTTCGTTTAATATTTTATTAAAATTCAGTTCGCCTTTTTTTCCAAATATTTGTACATAACACTTCTAACACTAGAGAAAAAATGGTTGATTTAGTACAATCAAATTTGAAAAGATGTATCCTCTTTTTCTTAAAGTACATAAACTTAAAATCATTGTTTTATAGGTTGTTCAAATTGACCGTGATCAAGAATATATATACTTTATTTGGTCGGAAACACTTCCTTCTGCCTGTTACATAATTTTCAAAGAATCTGGTATACCCTTTTACTCTACGAGTAACAACGGATATAAAAAGAAATGAACTTGAAATGAAAAAGCAACGGTACCAAAATAAGACATAATTTTGGTACACATGTACCTAAACTTTCAGATCGCCAAGCGCAGTTAGATTGCTATAATAGGCCAGTGCATATATAATATAACCTTGTAATTATATATTTAAAAATAACTATATCCTTTCTCTTCTTATTTTTTCTATTGATATTCTGTCAGTTCCTATGGAAGTTATTAAATATATTATATAAAATATTAATTATATTATATTATATTATATTGATCAAATTAAACTCGAAAATATATGTTCTCAAAAACGGATGTATTCCAAGCCTAAATTTGATTTCTTTTCCAGCAATTTTCGGAATGATTGTAATTTATATGGTCGCAAAAGTCACCTTCACAGTGTTG